TTTCTTGCTTATAAGCTCATACCTCATTATCTCAACCATACTTTTATCGACCTACGCAGTCTCAGTCAAGTTTTTCTCTTGGGTCATTAGGTCTTGAGGATCAGAACCTGAGAGTAAAACTTTGACAACTCTGATTTAGGAACCGTATTGCATGTAGACGCTGACACGCACAAATACACATACTCATAAAATCGAGCAAAAATAACAGGATTAGTATAAAAGATAATTAACCAAACCACTCTATATCTATCTAACTAGGTTTTTTTATTCTCTTTTGGCTTAATTGAGTCCATATAAGAAGTAAGATAGAGCCGGATAATGTTCTTGGCCTAGTGTTAATTTGAGACCCTTACAAGAATGAAACCCAGCTCTGATGATGTCCATCATATGATGGACGAAAGCTCAGCACGTTTTCAATCATGACAACTACTATGGCAAACGACTTCGGACTAGGTGCGTCCTATTAAGTCGCCCTGACAACAAGACCAAGTTGCGATAACGAGGTCAACCCACTTCTAGAACTGTTAAATTTGGCTGATCAACCATGATCACTGTGCTGTCATGGCCTGACAAACGGGAGGCTTACATGTGTATTAGATGGTTCGCCCATTCGTGCGGCCATTCGGCTTGCAAATCGGCATGAGACACAACATGTGCCGTCACCGTGAGATGAAGTAGATGAAGCCTGGGGCGCAGAGGTGGGGCTGGGCTCGTCCGACCGGATGGACCATCATGAGCACCGGCTGCCTTGAGGGGTCGCTGAGGCGAAAGGAAAATGAGATGGGAGTACTTAGAGATATTGGATAGATGTAATTGATACAAGAACATGCAAACCTTCAAGAAGGCTGTGCGCACAAGACCACTTCATGTAGAAAGATTGGGAGATGAGCTTCATCTCGTTGCGAGCTTGCTTCTGCCATTCCATTTCATTAGCATCATTCTACTAAGCCTTTAGTAGTCAACCGACTAATCTCTTCATGCTATCAATGCTTCAAAAAGGCTAATTTAAGGTAAAGAATGATTTATTCAGTTCATGTTTGTGTAAACCTTTGCGTATGTGCGTTTGTGTGGTGTGGACGAAAATGTAAGTGGAGAGGGGAGGAAGGTTTTGGTGGACTTTTTGACTTTCCTCTAGTAAAAATGCACTTACATGATTGCGTAATACCTGGTCGAGTTGATGGTCTTTTTTCGTTAAATCAGATTTGTGAAAATGGCATTGTTATCATTAGAACTATAAGTTGCCTCATCTACCATGCCATTTACTTTAGCAATCAAGAACAAGTAGGTCCTATCAAATTATTATAGACGTAACAATTTTGACTAATTTCTGTACCATACTGTCAGCTTCCTTGTCCATGATATATTGATTTTTATACTAAATTTAACTTTTAAATGCCTCTCGGAGTAACTTTCTCATCTTTCCTCAATCGGAAAATGAGTTTCTATTTAATACCATTTGAAACTGTAACAACTCTGCAACAACCAGGCTTCTGTAATCCGCAAAATAAAATACTTACCAACGCCAAATTCCTGCTTTACTCTCATCCTCCTTTTCTAAATTTAAGTATTTTTTGGTATGTGGATTTTTTACTTCCACAATAAACAAGCCGAGAAGTTTGAGGTCATACTTTTGCATCTCCAAAAGTGCTCACCTCTTGTTTCATAATTGTTGAGCTTACTTTCATTTCGAGTGAAGGTGTTTGGTTAAGAGATTCGAAGGTCAGTTCCACCAGAAGACGACGGCGGATTCCTCTTGACCAGCTGTTGATTGGCTTTATTGGTAGATTCTTTCTGACGCTGCTTCCGACGTAATCTTCTTCGATTCCGATGAAAAGGTGCTAAGCTTTCGTCCGTCATATGACG